ACACACACACACACACACACACACACACACACACACACACACACACAATGGAATATTATGCAGCCATCAAAAGGAATGAGATCTTGCCATTTGCAACGACGTGGATGGAACTGGAGGGTATTATGCTGAGCGAAATAAGTCAATCAGAGAAAGACATGTATCACATGACCTCACTGATATGAGGAATTCTTAATCTCAGGAAACAAACTGAGGGCTGCTGGAGTGGTGGGGGTGGGAGGGATGGGGTGCCTGGGTGATGGGCATTGGGGAGGGTATGTGCTATGGTGAGCACTGTGAATTGTGCAGGACTGTTGAATCACAGACCTGTACCTCTGAAACAAATAATACATTATATGTTAAAAAAAGAAGAAGATAGCAGGAGGGGAAGAATGAAGGGGGGGAAATCGGAGGGGGAGACGAACCATGAGAGACGATGGACTCTGAAAAACAAACTGAGGGTTCTAGAGGGGAGGAGGTGGGGAGAAAAAAAAAAGACTATAAATCTAATGCAGTAGCAATTTTTAAAAATTGAGTTCTCTTCCCATTTTTCATTGCCAAATTAAACTTTTATTATCTTTATTCTGCAATTGTTGCAAACTGGGCTTTATCATGGACACTGCAATAAAGAGATATACTGAAGGAATTATATATTCAAACTTCTAAATTTCCTTTAGCATTCGTTGCTAGAAGCCAGAAACTACTTGAAGTAACCAGAAGAGTTAAATTTATACCTAAATGATGGAACATTTGACATTAAGATGGGTAAAGAGAGAAGCTGTTGCTTTTCAGAGCCAGACTCAAAGGGTGTGTTGGCTGGGGAAGCCCAAGTTGGGAGCCCATGAACTTGGTCCTCAGAATCATGCAAGTTTATATATTCAGTTCAGTTCATTTAGAAATAATCAAGCCTCAGGGAGGTGATTCATATTAACTAAATGAATAATATCTACACACCAAAATCACCATTTATCATTTTACAAGAGATGATAGGCTTAGGCCTTGGAAGCAATGACCAGTAAACATCACAGGGTCTTCCCCAGTTGGTAGTTCTCCCCAGGCAGCCAAAGTACCTGTTAGCAATCCTCAGCTGTAGCAGGGAATTGGCATCACAAGGGGCTTCTGTTGAGTGGGTACATATTCGTAGCTTATAGTTGGCGTCCATTAGTTAAATCCTTCTAGTATCACCTCTGGTGTTACTATCAGCTTCCCCATTAAGGAAATATTTTAGCCTCTATGGCTTGTCCTCTTCCCTGGAATCGCGTTATCCCTCTGTTGTCAGTACCTACAGGTCAAGACAGGTTCATAATTGGTTCGATTAAAATTTCTCTTTGTTTCATCTTTTAAATGTCGTGACTTTTGGTGTTTTGGTTTTTTAAGTGTGATTTTGGGGCGCCATTACATTTTTTTTGTCAGTAGCACAGTGGGAGACTTTCTGGGAGGCTTCCGTGGATATAACAATATGGCTTTCGATGTTAACTTGTCAAATTAATTAATAATGGAGTTTATCTGATTTGGAACTTAGAGACTCTTCTCCCCTGGCTTTAATTAAATGAACCCGAAATAGTGGCAGTGCAGGATCCGACATGGGGCCAGTGGTGAAGTGTATTTCCCTTATTCCTGCCTGAGCCTGCAGCAGGGAGCCAAGGCAGCCCCCTGGCTTTTAGTGTTGCTAAAAGGAACTGAGATATAATGGTAGTACAGTAGCTTCAGACTACCCTTGGCTTGCTTTAAAGATTGCTTAATTTAGCAGTATCATTAGGTTCACGTCCGATTTCTTTGCCTCCTTTCTTTTCACTGGACAGGTGAAGATTGCCACACAGAAGCATGGCGGGACCGTGGGCCTGCTTACGTACCCGGTGCTCCAGGCAGCCGACATCCTGTTGTACAAGTAAGGAGCAGACTGCACCGCTGGTCTTAGGCATACTGACAAGAGAGTGTTCGAGCCTATCCCAGAAAGATTTGGCTCACGGGGAAGGGGGATATGGAAAGGATTGTGCAAATCAGTGTGCCTCTATTACCAGTAATAGGTACAACATGATAAAAGTTATGTTTTACTATGAAACTAGTAACAGGGCTAACACTTACATAGCACTTACTATGTGTTGGAAACTGTTATAAGTGCCTGGCAGACACTCACCCAGTTAATCTTCACAACCACCTTGTGAAAGTTGCATGACTATCATCCCCATTTTATAGGTGAGGAAATTAAGGCACGGAGTGCTTAGTCCCTTGCCCAAAGTCACGTAGCTAGCAAAGCCTGGACCCAGGATTTGAGCATAGAAAGTTTGGGTACAAGGTTGTTGTGCTCTTAACCACTATGTAATATAGACTTCCCTGGTAATAATTAAGCTTCAAGAGTTTTCAGTGTTGATTTCTCATATAATCTAGATTCTAAAGCAATGCTGTGTGATAGAACTTGCCTGCAATTATGGAAATGAATCCGTGCTTTCCAAGACCTTAGCTGCTAGCCACAGGACATGTTGACAGAAGAACTGAATTTTAAATTTTATTTAATTTTAGTAATTTAAATGGAAATAGCCACCTGTCTCTGGTGGCTATTGTATTGGATCAGCAGTTGAGAGCAAGTTTTTCAACACGCTGTAGGGTACCCTACTTTTCCTGGACCCATAATCCCTCTAGTCAGTCAATGCTGTCCTTTACAGGCCTCAAACCCTATAATCAGAGGATGCTGAGGCCTGCCCTCTCTGTACTTCTGACCCCATCCCTCTCCCAGTCCTTCCCTGCCATCCCCACGTTACCTCCCCTGGCCCCCCATTTGGCCTTCTAGAGATAAAGCTTCCCAATCAGCTTGCGTGCCTAGACAAGCCTTGCTTCTGAGGAAAAGGAGAAACTCTGTCAATCTGTTTTTCCCCTAAAGTCTTGACCCTGCAAAAGTGATTCTTCCCTAGGAAAACTAGAATTCTTTGCATGTAAATACAATAATAGCATGGAGATGACAGTATATGCACCTTGTAGTATGACCCCAGAGCCCTTGTGCCATTATGATGGAAACAGCTAGAAGAATAGGTGCTTAGCTTCACAAATCAGGAATGTCCTTTAATACATGCAGGCTATCTTTAACTCTGATTAAAACATATACATAAGGATTGTGTGTTGTTTGTTGTATTAATTTGAATGCTGGATTCCTAACAGCATTTGTTACTTATAATAAGTAACTTTTGCCTTATCCTGGGAAATCTACAACACTTTCCTCCAGGAGTAGCAAATGAAAGTCTAATAAAGGTCTAATACATTTCCCAGCAAAGTAGCGTGTTTTCTCACCTGTAAAATGGGAATACTAACTAATTATCCTGCACAGGATTAGTCAAAGATTAAAATGAAATATGGGCCAGGCAGTGCTGTGACTGGGAGGTGTCACTTGGTCATGCTTGGTGATGCTTGTCTCTAGTGATCATAGTCTTCTGTCAAATTTCACTTTCAAGGGGGACTTTTTTTAAATTTTTTTTAAAAATTAAATTTTTTTTTAAAAATTAAAATTTTTTTTAAGAGAAAGGGGTGGGGGCAGGGGCAGAGGGAGAGGAAGAGAGAGAATCTTAAGCAGGCTCCACACCCAGTGTGGAACCCGACACGGGGCTCGACCTCATGACCCTGAGATCATGACCTGAGCCGAAATCAAGAGTTGGACGCTTAACTGACTGAGCCACCCAGGCGCCCTGGGGGACTTCTTTATAGAAGCAAAGGCTGAGGTTTGTCAGCACCAGGATATGGAAGCATACGAGCATGGTAGATTTCCTTAACAGTTCAAGAGCTGTCGTGCAAGAGTCCTCTAAGCTCAGAGCTGTGAAAAAGAGTAAACTTGAGCAAGAATGATTGTCCCCTTTGTGATACCATGGAGCACAGAGTGGGGAGGAACTTTGCTGAGGCTCTGCTTCAATTCCCTAGCTTTACAAACACAGCCCAGTGAGGGTAAGCAATTTACCCAAAGCTGCACAGCCATTCAGTGGACAGTGACACAGCTGAGCCTTCTTATGGTCTCCTGAGGCCTGTGCTGACCTTCCTTAAGGAGCCAGTAGTTATGTTCCGGGGGGGGGGGGGGCGAGATCATCTTGTAAACAACCAAGACAACACAAGACCATACATACTAAAGTGATGATGAATTAATTTTTAACCCATTGTGTAAAATACAATTAGCAGAATGATAAAATCCTACAGTTTCTTTCATCTATAAAGTAGGGGCTAATGGGACATAGCTCAAGGGATTATTAAATAACTTGTGTATGAATTGTTACCAGCTAGCATATGCTCAGTACAAACGTTTCAAGAATACAAGCAACATTTTAAAAGGTTGACATTGGCAAAAAGTAGCTCCAGATCCCCAAATCTGATACATACTCTACCTGTTTTCAAGCCAGGCCTTAGGTTATGAATGTCTTCTTCTCTTATGAAAGCAGTAATTATTTCAGATGTGGCTGGTAAACTCAAGCTTTCAGTAGCTTCCTGTCTCTCTCTGCCCTGACATCAGCAGGTTCTCACAGTTGGTTAATGCTTCCAAGGATAAGTCACCCCCCGGGTAACTTCCAGCCTCAGTTACCCTCCAGCCAACTCCTGGGAAGCAAAGAAATTCCCATACTATAAATATTCCTTCTTTAACTCTTACTGATCCATTTGGTGGTTAGCATATACACTATGCCATGAAATGAAATACCATGAAATACCATGAATGCCATGAAATACCTTTCTTTTTCCTATTTTCTGAAAGGAGGACTATGGTAGCAGATCGTTATGTATCCCCATCAGGTTTCTGATATTTTACATATAATTTGTTAAACAGAGAAACGTATTTAAAGTATTAAAACCAGGTAATCACCTACGTTCAAGACGACTGCCTCCCACCTTAGCCTAGCAAGTAGTCTACCTGCAATGCCATAATTAGATCCTGGGCATGGAACGGAAAACTGCGTGCTCCTTTGCTTAAGAGAAAGAGCCCTACATTTGGTCTCAGGCCAGACCTCCTGCCTCTGGCCACACATGCTCCAGCCTGTAGGCTCTGGTCCTTTGGGCTCTTTTCTTCTGCCCTACTCCTCAGACTGTCCCCATGGGTGCCGTTGCCACAGTCACGTATCCCACATTTCCCGGGCATGTGTGTCATTTGGACCCCTCCAAAGCATGCAGACAAGTACAGTAAAATCAGTTCTGGTTTACTGCAGCATTTTAACGTACATTTCTCATCTGTTTCATTATGCTTCCCCCTAAGCTTAGAAATGCCTAACTGCTTCCTAATATGTAGCAGTGGCAGGACTCAAACCCAGGTCTGATTTTTAGCCTGTACTGTTGTTTTCCCTATAACATAGCTCAAGCACTTGGGGTATTTTTTGTTTGGTTTTATTTCAGATAGTTCTGGATTTTGAAACCGGTCATAGCCAGAATGTCTATGAATATTTATGTCATAAATATAGATAGATACAAACAAGCAAGTTAGATGGATTCAAAAAACATTTATATTTTCTCCCTCGAGCAAATTCTATGTGGCCTCTTCACAAAATGTTGATGCAGAGCGTGTGTAGCTTTCGTGTTTGCTTTTGTCAAAATCAGCATTGGAATAAGTGGGACATGGTGGTCCAGGGAACAGACATGAGGGGAGGGAATGAAAGGGGGGCCTTCCAGATAAATGTATGAAAGATTCATTTCATTGTTTTGGTAGAACTTGGTATGAAACCCAGGAATGGAAAGCTGAGACCATCTTAAGCTTGAGAGTATCATAAAATAGCAGATATTTGAAGAGAGACAAAATACTCAACAGTAGCATTTGTCCCAGTTTTTATTTTGCATCTGTGTTCTTTTTCTGAATATCCAATTTCAAATAACTGGCTATATATTAAATAAATGTTTCTCTCTCCCTTTCTTTCTCTCTCTCTCTCTCTCTCTCCACACACACACACACACACACACACACACACACACAGTTTTTATTAACATGCAGCAAATACATGTTAAGTACCTGCAGTGCTGCTAATCCAGAGAGAGGCACTCTGCATGGACTTGAGTGAAGGGAAGGAAGGAACCAACATGAGGTGAGCATTCGTTGTCAGGTGCTACACACACGTTATCTATTCAGATTCTCAGAACAGCTCTGCAAGATAGGTAAATGATATTATCCCCAGTTTACAGATAAAGACATGAAGTTTTGGAGAGTTACTACTAAGTCTGCTCAAATAGAGATGAGAGCGATTACCTGGGCTAACCAGTGTCTCTTTTCGAGAACACAAACGGAGAACTATGGGAAGGGGATAAGATGATAGTGAAAGCAAAAGCTGAAATGACATAACAAAATGAGCTGTGCGTAAGCAGAACCAAAGCCAACCAAAAACAAAGCGTAGAGAGTATGATGACTGTTCGGAAGCCTCACACTTGGTAATTCCAGAGAAGAGGTGAGTCGACCATAATGTCTGAGGATCAGATCACTGCTATTGAGGACAGTCGAGATAATTCGTTCCTAAAACTGCTTTGGAGACTTCTGGTTCTTGAATTACATCCTTTCTCTGTGAGGCCAGACTGCCCCGAATTTTTATGAGATCCTGAAACCTGCCAGCCAAACCTCATTCCAGCCATCCATACACTCACCCACAACTGCCAAGCAGTAGTGTGTCTTCTCTTTCTCTTTCACTTTCCAGCTCTGGGGCAAGTGCCATAGGTAAAGCCTATGGAAATGTAGTTTCCAGGCTGCAAGCCCCCGGAAATCGACAAATAGCGTAGAAGGGAGAGGGTGGTGTTGAGAAGACCGCGGATAATCCAAGACACCTTCCTGAAAGCATTGGGAAGCTCTTTGTGATTTTCAGGACAGAGTGAGATGATCTGATGTATACGTTTAGAAATGAACTGACTAAAATATAGAGAATGACCTGCAGGGGGACAAGAGCACCTGGGGCA